ACTCGAGATCCAATAGTTCTGAGCGGCCCAATAGCTTCATTTCGTGAATACCTAGAGTTCCTGATACATAAAAAAATTTTTTGAAAAATAAAAAAAAATTTTTTGAAAAATTAATTTTTAGATACAATAGTTCTGAATATAGTTCCTGCTTCCTTTCAACGATACGAAGAGTTCTCTGTACTTTTTAACTCGAGATTCTCTTAATAACAATTTTTTAACAATTTTTTAATGGGGTGCTAACTTTTTATCGAAATTCGAGGTCGAATAGTTCTGAGCAGCTTAATAGCTTTATTTTGTGAATACCTAGAGTTTCTAATACATAAAAAACAATTTTGACGTACAACAAAATTTATATAAAAAAAATTAAAAAATTTTGAAAAAAATTTTTTTATACAATAGTTCTGTCACATGTTAATTGTCATTCTGTCTATTTCGAAGAGTTCTAAGCGATTAAAATCAACACAAACCCAAAAATAAAAGAGATATGTACTTAAAACAAAATTTGAAGAATTGGTTGCAAAAGCACATATCTTCTTATGTAGCCATCCAATCGCATTTTCACCTAATACTTTTCGTCAGGGCTCGTCGAGAACTGCCCAGAATGCCAGTCAGAACTACTGAGTACTCAAAAAATTTTTAATGACTTCCCATATAGCGTATCTCGCAAATTAAAATTTTTAATGACTCTTCCCATATAGCGTATCTCGCAAATCGTTGGCCCAATCGCTTTTTCATTTCATACTTTTCGTTAGAGCTCGTCGAGAACTGCTCAGAACGATAATCAGAACTATTCAGTACTCTCAAAAAATTTTCTCAAAAAAAGAGAAAATTTTTTGAGAATACTGTATAGTACTGTATATATCAAAAGAAACTAATTATAATGGTAATGGCATTACAAATAACGAGTTATTTTCAATCTCAGTCAAAAAGATTAATGGTTTTCATGAAAAAAGTTGAAATCAAATACACTCATATATTTTATTTCATGATTTCTATACATTTTATAGCATAAAACTACATTAGAAGCATGGAAATTTCTATGTTGTCTAAAGAGATGTTTTTAAATATAAAACATTCAATAACTTTATATGATTAACATTTTCGATTCTTTCTGTGCTCTCCTTATTTCAGCAATTATAAACCAGCATTCTTCTTTTTCATATCCTCAGCAGATTTTGCGACAAGAGCTTCCCATTGTTCAGGTTTATTTTTTATTAACCAATCCTTCATCTCATTATACATTTCTTTTTGTTTTTCAGTACATTTTTTACAATCAGTTTGGATAACTTCGCTCATAATTCCTGAAAATAAATAAAGAAAGCTCCTGATATATTAGTTTTCATAGCAAACATAAAATTCTCTTTTCTCTTTCTCTACTTTTTTTCTTCATTAAAATTAACGCATATGTATGGAATATTGAAAAATCACGTTTGAAATAAAAAAGACCGATATTTATGCAGTTTTTACAAAAATATATAAAATTAAAAAATAATTCTCTTTCGTCATATTTTAAAATAATGAGAAAATTTATCCAAAAATTAACGTTACAATAACCTCTGATCGTCTCAAATAAGATTTAATATTTCTTATGCATGAGTATATATGGGATGTTTATTTTTTAATTTCGTTTGAATGACGTAAGTATACCTTGAACGAATTTCGCGTCTTCTGTCGGGCATGGGTCCTTTTCCATGTAACAATTGTAATATTCTTCTCGTAATTTGTCATTTTGAAGGATACTTATGGGGTCAATGTTGTCATATTTATCGGAGTACAGTTCTTCCGCTAAAACGCACATCAGTGTTACACTGATGATCGTCACGACGTAGCTTAATCGAGCCATCATTTCTCCTATTTTTGCACTAACTTTTAAGAAACTGAACAATTGCTCAAATGTACATCTTATTTATACACTCGGCCACAGAGATTTATGAGATAAAAACATTAACATGTAAGAATGACGAATACCTTGTAGTATTAAAGTAGCTTGTATTGCATAATGAGAAAAAATCAACTGCGATAGTGTCTTAAATTATCTTCTCAATCAGATAATAAATTTGAGTATGTGTGGTTAATAGCAACGTTACATAAATAATGTAAATGTCTTCATGAAGTTTCCATTCCAGGTAACAATTTTCAACGTCTTATTAGTTAGCGGAATAAAATCAGTCTTATTAGTTAACAGAAACAATTCTAATTATTATTTTTATTTGTTGCTAAAAAAATACCAAAGAAATAAATTTCTTAAAAAATAATGTTCCGCTAAAGGAAGTTAGCATATATATAATATATATGTATATAATAACGAAATTGTACCTGATAATAATGTTAAGGAATTGTTGCTAATTTGTTTTTGTCGAAACATTTAAATTTTGTTGATTGTGAAATAAATGTAACAACGAAAAACGTCTCAGCGTGCAGACGATTGAAACAGTAAAATACCAGAAAAAAATTTGTTTCTCTCTTTGATATTGGGATCTGTGGGATATGTCGAGAGCAATAAATTCAGACAATATCTCAATATCAATTCTAAGTAATTTTTTGCTGCCACTTTACTCTAGTATCGATGTTTATATTTTGTAAGTAACAAATTCGAGATTTGTATATTTTGAAAGCAACAAATTGTTCCGCTAACTTATAAGACATGATGCTGTGATGTGAAACTAATCTAAAATTAGATATTCTTGGTATAACATGGTATTATTGTCCCCCCCCCCCCCGGGAGAAATATGATTTCCTGTTAAGGATACGTCTGTAATATTAATCATTGATAAATATGTATAAAAACATTAATGGTAAAGAAAAATAAATTAAAACGTTCACAAAATATTAACGCACATTTATACTCATAAATTACACAGATCTGCGAAATTGGAGGTGTTAAAAGTTGATTGGGATTTAATAATGTTTTCTTATGTAATTTTTTGCACTGAATCCGGCTACAAATTTGCTCTATCATGTCAGGATTTCGAGATATTTTAAACTGTCAAAAAAGCCGTTTTCAACTGTATTTAAAATTAAAAAAGAAAAAGTTTTCGAAAATCTTGTAAAAGCAACTTAACTAGCCGGGGAGTCACTCATTTTGCCTTAGAGATTAGGCTCCTACGAGGTACAATTTATCAAACTTCGAATTGCAGGGTTGCCACAGACCTAGAAAACCGGGAAAACCGGGAAAAGTCAGGGAAATTGATATTGGTCATGGAAAATCGAAAAAAGTCAGGGGAAAATGTAAAAAAGTCTGGAATTTTGAAATTTGCTCACAATTTCCTTAAACTGCTCCTATTCTAAATAATTGTTATAATTTTTTAATATTATATCTGACGTTTATGATGAAATACACATTTCAATCAAAAATTTACACATTTTAAACAATTTTAATAAAATAATTAAAATTGATACTTTATTAAATATTTTTATTTGATTGCGCTCTTTTTCGTAACTGCATTCTTTTTTCCAATACTAATTAATTTTTTGTTGGCTTGAATTTGTACCCAAAATTTTAGTATGCTACTAAGCTTTTTTTGCGTTGTTTTTAATAATATAGTCTAGCTTTCCTACAACTTTTGACTTTAAATGTGTTAAAATTTACATATTTCACACATATTTGAAAATTTTCCATTTTCATCTAGAAAATTTGGAAAAGTCAGGGAATTTTTAAATTTATTTTCTGTGCAACCCTGAATTGGAATATCTCCAGAAGAAAAAATCGCTTTAAGTTCAAAATGGATTTTGAAGGGGCCGTATAGTAGTAAATGATACTGTTGATGGATTTAACAACAAAAATTTTCTAAATTTTTAATTTAATTATAAATATGGTTAAAAACGGCTTTTTGGCGGTTTCAGGTTAAGATATCTCGAAATTTTGACGTGATAGAGCAATTTTGCAGCCGGATTCGGATTCAGCGCAAAAAATTACGTAAGAAAACATTGTTAAATCTCAATCAACAAAACCATGCAGGCTTGTGTGTGTGTGTGTGTGTGTTATGCTATATATTATACATCACGTTATTTAAATATTTTTATACATTATTGCATATTTTTATGCATAATGCATTACACTTACTGCCTATTTTGCGAAATCGAATTGTTTTTTGTTTTGGAAAAAATTGTAGTTGATTAGACAAAGATAGAAATGTTTCATGAAACATTAAGTTAACAGTCAATTGACAGTCACGTTAAATATCAAATTAAATATGCATGTGTATATTAAGGTGATTGTGCTATTAATTATGAGAAAATAATAATATATATTCTGATTATATATAAAAATTGTTTTCTTTTTTATGTGTGTTTGTCAAATGAGGATGTTGCAAATAAATATCCTAATTTGTATTGATAAAAGTAACGATTACTGTTTTTAAGTAACAAAAGTGAAATCATTTACTCTTCTATTTTATTATTAATATTTATAACATAATATTACAATACAAACATTAATTATATTAATAATTACAGCATCTAGAAATTTCTCTATTTTCTAAAGAGATGTTTCCGAATATAAAAGCTCTAGTAATTTTATAGATGATTAATTTATTTTTGATTTTTTTCCGTGCTCCCTGTTATTTGAGTTATTTCAGCAGATAGCAATCATGCACCCTGGTTCTTCTTTTTTAGATTTTCAATAGTCTTTGCGACGAAAGCTTCCCATTCTTCAGGTTGATTTTTTGTGTACCAATCCACTATTGAGTCCATTATTTCCTTTTGTCTTTCGGTACATTTCTTACATTTAGTTTGGAGAGCTTCGCTAGCAACCTCTAAAATCAAATCAAACAAAACTCTTGACATATTGGTTTTAATTCATAGTAAGCATAAAAATTCTCTTTCCTCTCTTTGTTTCTTCACCTTTTTCCTAATAACGTATGTATAAAATTTGAAAAATTAAGTTAGAAACAAAATATATTTGACAAATCGATATCTATGCAATTTTTACAAAGAATAAAATCAAGAACCTCCTATATTTTTAAAAAATCAGAAAATTGAGTCAAAAAACTCTATGATAGTATTATAAAAAAATCTATGATTGTTCCAAATGACAGGTACGTAATGTCGTAATGTTCTCATATATATGTATTAAATGTTTGCTTGTATTACTATTTCATTACGTTTAATTATTTAAATAATGCAATCTTTGAGCAACTTTGTGTCAATTTTTAGGAAAAATTTGAAATATGTCATTATTTCACTTATCGCAACTTTAAAAATTTTTTATTATATGTATATCTTTTTGATTAAGTCTTCCGAATAAAAATATGTTCTCCTCAAATTAAATAAAAAATATTTATTTTTGATAGTTTTTATGTTTATCCTTTTCGTTGGAAGTACTTTATTTATACGGTCATTAATTATTTCAAAACTACTAATACATATAGACTGTTAAAAAATAATGAATTTCTAAGTGTTAAAGAGTCTGTCTTGAAAATTTATTTATTGAAATATTTTGTGAATAAGTATACCTTTGAAGAACTTTGCATCTGCTGTTATGCATGGCGCCGTTTCCATAAAGCAATTGTAGTATTGATTTCGCAATTTATCATTTTGGAGGATACTCTCAGCGTCAATTTGGTCGTACCGATCGGAGTAGAGTTCTTCCGCCGAAACGCACAACAGTGCAATACTGATGATCGTCACAACGTAACTAAATTCAGCCATCGTTTCTTCTGTTCATACTAACTTATGAGACCGAGCGATCGTTTAAATATGCATCTTTTTATACATGTGACACGAGATAAAAAATGTATCACGTGTAAGATGACGAATAGTGTTATATACATACCTGGTAATAATAAGAATCGCATGTCTCTGATTGCTAATAAAAATTTACTATGCTAATTATCTTAATCAACTCATTCTTTTTATTGACCATGCATTATATAAATGTTCTCCCTAACCCGTTGAAGTTTCTAGAAATTTCCAGATTAATTAATAATTCTTATAAATGTAGTATAATATTTCTTGGAGTCAACTTTGCATTTATTTTAATATAAAATAATATGTTATGATGAGAGAGAGATTTTATTTATTGAAGCAAATATATATATATGCTAAAATTAGAATTGAACTTTTTGGCAATAGGATAATTTCTGCTCAAATTTTAAATTTATCGAATGTCTTGTAAAATTGCAACTCTCTTAAAATGTTTTAAATGACTATCTTTTCTCTGAAATATGTCTATCCAAACAATTTCAAATATTATCTGAATCAGATAAAGAAGCAGGGATTAGGATATTTTTTACATATATATTGAAAAATAAAATCTTTTTCATTCTGTTTGCAATGATTATTTTCACTTCAATTTTTCTTAATATCTTTCTATCAGATAAAATGGTCGCATTTTCAACAATTATTAAAAATAACTTGTGAGAGAGATACCTTGATTCATCACCTATTGAAAAAATTCTAAATTATATTTCGGATTAGAAAATAAAAATTTTAAATGTCAGAAAATAATATGTCTCACAATGGATCTAATCTTAAATGACAAAATCTTGAATCACTACTTTAAATCTGTAGATTGGATATATTACTACATAAAATTTACGTCTGTGAAGCTGGCACCCCCACTACAAAAGAAATTTGCCCGTATGCTATAATTAAGTGCTAATTTATTGCTCTAGTTTCGAATTTTGTGCTTTCCATTTGCAGGATATTAATTTCAAAAGTGGGGATGCTGATTTTACGTTATGCTAGCACCACCACTTCCTTAAAACACATACAGAGTCTGTAAACAAAAAAATACATTATCAAAATGTTTTGTTACTTTTTTACTCTAAGATACTGCAAAGAAAATTAGACTTGAATTTTAATTTAAGTTGGCAGGACCGTAAAGAAAGCAACAATTACCACGACTGAATTTGAACTAATTTGCATATATCATTCGAAGTTAATATTTTACATGTTTTCTCTTTAAATGACTTTATTAGTATATATAATGCTTACAATTTACGAAGTATTCCACATCAAACTTATTCCTAATATCGGTCACTATACGTGCGCTAGCACAGCAACATTTCTGATAAAATTTTTTAAACAATGAGTAATAAATTCAGAATCGGGATATTCTTAGAGCAAATAAAAATGTTTCTAGAATTATTTGCTTTAAGAATATTTTGATTCTGAATTTATTGCTTATTGTTAAAAAAGTCAACTTATATAGTGTGGCGATGCTAGCTCGCATACAAGAGTACATGAAAGCAATTAATTGCTAGGCCAGTTTTGGTCTTAAAATGTTTCTACAATTATTTGGTTATGTATATTGGATAAAAACACCCCTAAAATAAAAAAAAACGTAAATTATTTTTGGCACAAGAAATCTTACGAACTGATTATATTATATTCAATCTTACATTAGATCTGTTCTTTTTAGTAATTCTTGCACTATTCAGCTTTCCTTTTTTTCCTCTATATTTTTGTCATTCTTTGTTATTTTTTGTTACTTTAAAATTCATAATGGCTTATGTTATGATTATTGAATAATTTTAAATATTCTAATAGCGTTTTCTCTTGGGATACACTTGGTGCAGTCTTATACCGCACCAGTTGCGTGTAAGCGCTACACTGTTAGAAATTTCTCAATGAATTTTAATTAACATGTAAAGGAAGCATGTGGTTATGCACGAAATTAAATGTAATGAATGATATAAATAAAAACTAAATTACAGTAGTCTTAAATGTGATGAACGTTAATTTTTATAGAAATTAATTTACACGTTAATGAAAAAAGTACGAGATCTGTAACTGAAAAGTAATTTACGTTAATGACATGTAAGAAACTTAAACGTATTAAACGTTAAGCGTTAATAGTGTTATAGACTTAATTAAAATATTATTAATATTTGTAAATATAAAAGTACATTAATATGTACATTAATAGTTATTTCAATTACGATTAATTAAATTATATTCGTCATTTATATTCGTAAATGAAAAGTATATCAAATTTCATTACACTTAATTTTTCAGTTACTGTAAACTTAAATCTCATTAACAGTGTATTAATAGTCCTTTCAGTTACAGAGAAATTAAACTTTATTCACCAATGTACATTAAAAGTTAATGAAATTAAGAACATTTCTAACAGTGTACACTCAGCTACAGTGTCTGCTACACTACACTAGAGTGGTGCACACCATGGTGTACACTGTATCATTATGCTAAAACTCTGTTCCCGCTTGACTTTTATTTTCAAATTTTAAATGTCACACTGGTTCTACACGGTCTCTTTGAGACGGTGTAGCAAAATCCCACTTCGTGCATAAAATTTGCACTACACCGTAGCCACGGAAATACGGTATATACCGAATGAGTTCGCTTACCACCAGCCATGGAAACACGGTACTCTGTGTTGCACTAGTGGGTGATAGTGCAGCCAAGAGAAAACGCTATAAGTAGAACAAAATTGCATAGAAAATATACACATTCTGTCAAAGTTTAGCAAATGTTTTTAACATTATTTATTTATTAAAACTGCATTATATACAGTAAAAAAATGTCTAAATGCAATTTCTAAGGAAAAATTGATTAAATTATTTAACAAATATCTTTTATTATCTCTTCTTTTTGCACATTTTTTGTCTTATGCATTACAAAGAGTTTTAAGAAGAATATACAAGATATGTTGCAATCATTTTCTAGGATACGCTCCAAAACTTTCTCTCTGAGGAAAATTTTACTCGAAATATATAATACACGTAACGTATACTATAGTATATATAGTAAAATCTTCCTCGGAGAAGAAGTTTTGGAACGTAGCCTAGAACATTTGCTAGATATATTTTCTTTTATTTGATGCACGAATTGCGTGTTTTGCGTTTTACATTGCGTTTTACATTGCGTGTTGCATTTTATATGTTTCGCATTTCGCAATCGAGTCCTTCACTGCTTGAGTGGAATAGTTCTCTCTTCATATTCCATAGGTGTTTTTTATTGCTGCACTCTGGTGGCTGTTTTACAATGTGGTTTTTGTTTCCTGTTTCTTACTGTTTGTCTCTTGCCTTCTTGATCAAAAAGGCAAGAGATAAACAGAGACAAACAGCAAGAAACAGGAAACAAAAAGCATTGTAGAACAAAAAATAATTGTAGAACAGCCATAAACCGGTGCAATGAGTTAAAGTGAAAAAAGTGAAATATTTGTTTTACTCCAACTTATTGCACTGGTGTACTAGTTCAGAAAGTGCAGCAATAAAAAAAACAAACCTATAGAATATGAAGAGAGAACTATTCCGCTCAAGCAGTGAAGGCCTCGATCGGGAAATGCGAAACGTGCAAAACGCAACACGCAATGTAAAACGCAAAACACGCAATTCGTGCATCGAATAAAATTAAAATGTGTCTAGCAAATGTTCTAGAAAAAACAAACCTCATATTATATATACGTACTACATATACCGCGTGTTTTATTGTAATGGCCCCAGGCAAATTCTATATCTCGAAAAATATGGAAGATACGAAAAAATGTTCCAGACAAAAGTTGCATGGTTTCGAACTCTATAAAGCTAGCAGGACCAAATCAGTAGAATCAAATCGGAATTTTTAGTACTCATTTTGTACTAAATTGTACTATTAATGATACTTTTATACCGTATGCAATTTCGAAAAAAATTGTGGCGCTGCTGGCTTAATATTAGTTGGCAGGACCAATTCAAAATAAAAGAAAAAAAATATCAGAAATTAATACGATTGAATTTGTACTATTTTGTACTGCCAAAAACAATTCTATACTATATGTCATTTTCAAGAAAACAGTGGCGCTGATAGTTTAATATTTAAGCTGGCAGGACTGTAAAGAAAATAACACAGGGCAAAAATTAACACGACTGAATTTGTACTAATTTGTATATACCATTGAAAGTAAGTTAATATTTTACATGTTTTCTCCTTAAATGACTTTATTAATATATATAATACTTACAATTTATGAGGCATCATTTAATTTTTTTTTTTGCTAACATATCTCTTATTCTACAGATAAAAATATGAGACACGTGTTTTGCGAAAAAAATGAGATTTTTTAAATGAAGTTATTTGACGCTTGTAAGTTTCATAAATTTATAAAAAACGTCGTTCATGCGAACATTCAAATTATTATATCGTTGAAACCATATATTAGTCGTATAAAAAAAATGCAAAATTTTCTGATATTAGCAGTCATTAGCTTCCTGGTATTCAATTAATTATTAGCAAGGACGCACTGGCACTCCTTGGTAATTTGAGAATATCAGAGATCAAAATGTAGTACATAATTATTTCCATGCGTGTGCTCTAATACTATACATTTATAAACATATGAGAATAATTATTGTATTGTGATTATATAAAAACTATCATCTTTTTTTTATGCGTATTTATTAAATAAGGATACTGTAAAAGTAATAGTATTCGACAAAATTAATTATGATTTTCAAGATGAAATCTCAATTTTGTTCTTTATTTTATTTCCAATATCTATAATATAATACACGCGCACTATAATACAAGCATTGATTGCATTAATAATTATAGTATCTAGAGAATTTCTTTTGTTTACTAAAGAGATGTTTTCCAATATAAAAGCTTCAGTAATTTTGTAGATGATTAACTCATTTTTTATTTTTTCCGTATTCTCGTTATTTGAGTTACTTCAGCAGTTATTAACAATTATGCATCTTCGTTCTTCTTTTTTAGATTTTCAATAG